TTAAAAAATAAAAATAAAAAATTATTCAAAATTTAAAACTGAAAAAGTAAAAAATTACTTAAATTTGAGATGGATTAAAAAGTATTAAGAAAATAAAATCTGCCTATAAACCAAACCCCCAGATATAAATTACTGCTACCGTTTGGAATATATTCTTCCATTCTTTAAGTTTTTGTTAAAAAAATATAATACATGAATTTAATTCCCAGCTGTATGAGATAAAAATTGTGAGTTCTTCTTTACCTTTTGTCCTCAATTAATTTACTCCCTTTGAGGGTTAAAACATTTTTGTGCATATCATTCTATTCCTTTTACTGTGCTACACACCATTTTTTTGAAACCTAACCCCATTTAATACAAACTGGTCTCCAAATTACTTTGCTTACTTAATATATGTAGACTTTCACTCCATATTAGTTCATATAGATTTCTGCTTTTTATAACAGATATTTCATAGTATTAATGTATCGTAATTGTTTTTTAGTCTCTGCTATTAAGGGGCATTTTGATTGCTTAAAGTAGTGGTTCTTAAACATTAGCAAACATTAGAATTACTTTGGGACTTACTAGCATAAATTGTATAATATGCAAATATGTATAATCATGCATTAATTATCCCATACATATAAGCATGTACATTATATTATTAATATTACATAACACATTAAATTATTGATCGAGCATAAACACCCAACACAGTACATGGATATCCATATCCTAAAGCCTACTGTTGATCTTGCATAATACATACTATTATTGATCAGACATACTCCATTCAGTCAAATCATTTCTAGTCAATATGCATATCACAACCAGTAAATAATACTTGATCACCAAGCTTTGAGAAACCAGCAACCCGTCCACAGCATGTCCCTCTTCTCGCTTCAGGCCCATAACATGTAGGGGTTTCTAAAAATGATCTATATCTGGCATCTGGTTCTTACTTCAAGACCATATCACCTAAAATCACCCTTAAAAAGACATCTTGATGGAATAATAACTAATCGCATGTAATACACTCACATGTAACTGTGGTGTCATGCATTTGGGATTTTTTAATTTGGGGGAATGCTGTGACTCAGTTATGGCTGTAAAGGCCTTAACACAGTCAAGCAAATTGTAGCTGGACTTAAATTGAATACTATTCCTCCGCATACTTTACCACATGGTGTTATTCAGTCAGTGGTTTCAGGACATAGAACAATTTTCCACGTACGCATACGTGTGCTTATTAAGTAAATAATTAGCTTAGCAAATTGCCCCACCCCTCTTTTAAACTTTAGACTGTGTATATTTATTAATAATCTTGCCAAACCCCAAAACAAGATTGAATATATATAACAACACGTAAAGCCTAACTCCCATCCTGTAATAATAATTTAACCCCAATAAAATATATTTAATCAAAATTATTAAACAAAAAAATCCGTATCATCAACCCCAAAGATTAGAAAAAACTACTCAATAAATTGTAAAAGTTTCTCCATTAATGCCAACATGCTACTTTAATCCATAAAATTTCCATAAACAGACATCTCCCTAGATCTAACTTTTTTTGGAGAAATTAAAGTACATTTAATCATTTCCCCAAACCAAAATTTTACTAATCCCTCACCTAATAAATTATAACTACCCAAATTCTAAAATATTTTTCCAACACATCACTCAAGTCAATAGATATAAATCCCAAAACTAACTTGTTAATGTAGCTTAACAATTAAAGCAAAGTACTGAAAATGCCTAGATGAGTTTATTAACTCCATAAACACATAGATTTAGTCTCAGCCTTTTTATTAATTTTTAGTAGAATTACACATGCAAGTGTCTGCATCCCAGTGAGAATGCCCTCTAAATCACCAGTGATTAAAAGGAGCAGGCATCAAGCACACTAAAAAGTAGCTCACGACGCCTTGCCTAACCACACCCCTTTGGGAGACAGCAGTGATAAAAATTAAGCCAAAAATGAAAGTTTGACTGGTATATTAATTAGGGTTAGCCACCGCAGTCGTACGATTAACCCAAATTAATAAAACTCCAGCGCAAAGCATGTTAGAGGTATAATTACAATAAAGTTAAAACTTAAGCTATAACTAAAATAAAAATAAACCTATGAAAGTGACTTTAATATTTTTGACTATGTGATAGCTTAGACCCAGACTGGGATTAGCTACCCCATTATGCTTAGCCCTAAACCCAAATAATTATTTTAACAAAATTACTCACCAGAGTACCACTAGCAGCAGCCTAAAACTCAAAGGACTTGGTGATGCTTTATGTCCCTCTAGAGAAGCCTGTTCTATAATCAATAGACCCCGATAAACCTTACCAACCGTTGCTAATACAGCCTATATACCACTATCTTCAGCAAACCCTAAAAAGGAATTATAGTAAGCATATGGTAAGCACAAATATTAGGCATAAAAACATTAGGTCAAGGTGTAGCTTATGGGATGGAAAGAAATGGGCTACGTTTTCTATTTTAAGAACATTAAATTACATGAAGTCTTTATGAAATTAAAGACTAAAGGAGGATTTAGTAGTAAATAAGAATAGAGAGCCTAACTGAATTAGGTGGTGTGAAACACGCCCACACCACCTGTCACCCTCCTCAAATTTCGTAAACCTGCAATAGAACTGATTAATACATATTAAATGTATAAGAAGAGACGAGTCGTAACAAGGTAAGCATACTGGAAAGTGGGGTTGGATAAACCAAAGTGTAGCTTAAACAAAGCACCTAGCTTACACCCAGGAGATTTCATAGTAAATGACCACTTTGAATTAAAGCTAGCCCAAACTTAGCAAACTCAACTTTCATAAATAAGTTAATTAAAACATTTGCTTGAAATTAAAACTATAGAAGATAGAAATTTTAATTGGCACTATAGAGAAAGTACTGTAAGCAAATGAAAGAAGTATTAAACAGCAAAGTTTACTCCTTTTACCTTTTGCATAATGATTTAACTAGAACAATTTAACAAAGAGAACTTAAGCTAAACACTGCGAAACCAGAGAGCTACCCGTGAACAGTTTTAAAGAACAAACTCATCTATGTAGCAAAATAGTGAGAAGATTTATAGTAGAGGTGAAAAGCCTAATGAGCCTGGTGATAGCTGGTTATCTAGAATAGAATTTTAGTTCAAATTTAAATTTACCTAAAGAAATAGCAATTCTAATATAAATTTAAATACTAATCTAAAAAGGTACAGCCTTGTAGAAGCAGGATACAACCTTCCTTAGAGAGTAAGTATAAACAGCACCAAAGTAGGCCTAAAAGCAATCATCAATTAAGAAAGCGTTCAAGCTCAACAACATACTTAGTTCCAAAAATAAAAACCAACTCCTAATCTAATACTGTTAATATGAGTAACAAGAATTATTTCTCCTTGCATGAGCTTTTATCAGAACGACTAACCACTGATAGTTAACAACAAAATAAATCTAACCCAGTAATTAATTATTGATTGAACTAATTGTTAACCCAACACAGGTATGTGTTTAAGGAAAGATTAAAAAAAGTTAAAGGAACTCAGCAAACACATACCCCCGCCCGTTTACCAAAAACATTACCTCTAACATTTCTAGTATTGTCCAGTGACATCTGTTTAATGGCCATGGTATCCTGACTGTCAAAGGTAGCATTATCACTTGTTCTCTAAATAAGGACTTGTATGAATAGCCACATGAGGCTTTTACTGTCTCTTACTTGTAATCAGTGAAATTGACCTTCCTGTGAAGAGGCAAGAATGACATGATAAGATGAGAAGACGTTGTGGAGCTTTAATTAGTCCATAAAGAACAAAAATTAACCAAATTTAAGGGATCACAAAACTTGAAATGGACTAACAGTTTTGGTTGGGGTATAAAATAACTTCGAATGATTAAAATCTAGACCAGCTAGTCAAAATGTTTTATCACCTATTGATCTAAGATATTGATCAATGGAACAAGTTACCCTAAGGATAACAGCACAATTCTATTCTAGAACTCGTATAGACAATAGGGTTTATGACCTCGGTGTTCGATCAGGACATCCCAGTGGTGTAACTGCTATTAATGGTTCGTTTGTTCAATGATTAAAGTCCTATGGGATCTGAGGTCAGACTGGAGCAATCCAGATCAGTTTCTATCTTCTACATTTCTGCCAGTATGAAAGGACAAGAGAAATAAGGGCCACTTCACAAAAGCACCTTCAAACTAATAGATGATATAATTTCCATCTAATTATGCCCAGCCCTGCTCAAGAACAGGGTTTGTTAGGATGACAGAGCCCGGTAATTGCATGAAACTTAAACCTTTTTTACCAGAGGTTCCATTCCTCTTCCTAACAACATGTTCATAATCAACATTCTCCTATTAATTATCCCTTTCTACTTGTGTAGCATCCCTCACACTGGACGAATGAAAAGTGTTAGGCTACATACAATTCTGCCAGAGACCAGCATCATCAGCCCCCATGGTTTACAACAGCCTATCACTGATGCTGTCAAACTAGTCGTTAAAGCACCACTACAGGGGCTGGCCCAGTTGCGTAGTGGTTAAGTTTGCACACTCTGCTCCAGCAGCCCAGAGTTCGCAGGTTCGCATCCCACGCGTGGACCTACATACCGCTTATCCATCCGTGCTGTGGCGGCATCCCATGTACAAAATAGAGGAGGATGAGCATGGATGTTAGCTCAGGGCCAATTTTCCTCACCAAAAAAAAAAAAAGAGAGAGAACCACTATAGCCACTAACATCATCAACAACCATATTTATTATTGCACCAATCCTGGCCTTCACCCTAGCCCTAACAATTTGAATTTCACTACTTGTACCATATCCACTAATTAATAGAAACCTAGGAGTACTATTCATATTAGCTGTATCAAGCCTAGCTGTTTATTTCATTCTCTGATCAGCCTGAGCTTCCAATTCAAAATATGCATTAATCAGAGCCCTACGAGCAATAGCATAAGCAATTTCATATGAAGTACCATTAGCAATAATTCTGCTATCAGTCCTACTAATAAATGGATCATTTACACTATCCACGCTAATCACCACCCAAGAACACCTATGACTAATTTTCCCATCATGACCACTAGCTATAATATGATTTATCTCAACCCTGGCAAAAACCAGCTGAAGAAACCAAGCCTTATTCCCGAAAGTTTCTCATTCATTGGTCTAGGGTGGGCCTGAGAATTTGCATTTCTAACAAGTTTCCATGTGTTGCTGATGTCTAGGGGTCTACTTTGGGATCTCTGTTACAAGAAATGGTAAGGCTGGTCGTTGTGAATGATTATGATTGGTGAAGGTTTGAACGGTGAAAAATACAATGTGCTTGTGAGAAAATGTATATATAAAAGTGAGAAAAATATTTGAAAGAGGGCTCACAGGATGCTAGTGAACTTATGTTTAATTTTTTGTATTTGAGAGTGCCTTTATTTCTAGTAAACTGTGTTTGGGGTTTTTTTTTTTTTTTACTGGTGCTTCTATCTGTAGCAGGTTGGAAGACAGGGTCACCATTCAGCAAAATGAAGTTTCTGAAGATGGAATTCTGAGGAATGTGGATCAACTTAGTGAAGTTCATATGGGTAAGCATCATTGTATTGGTCTGATTTTGGAAGGTTCTTAACACTAACCTGTTTTATTTGGACAATGTATTAATAGAGAGCATTCCTTATCAGTCACCTCAATTATTTAAAAAATATTATAGGCATAGAGCTCTGCACTCTGCATTTATAAGCCTGGATTATTTGGCAACGTGGGCAATAAAACTTCTAGGTCAGTTATTTTACTGAATGTTCAAAATGAAAAGAATTGCTTGCCAAAACTAAGCCAATGTGCAAAGGACGTTAAATAAGTTGTCTTCTTGTTTTTAATAATATTAATTAAAATAGAAGTATAATTTTTTCTATCTAGCCTATAGGAACAAAGATAAACTAGAACTAAGTGTGAGTGTCTAAACAGTATTTTTTCACATTTCCTTGCATTTGCATCTACATTGTAGAACTTCCAAGATAATGGATGTATACAACAAATTAAATCTGCTTTCTGAAAAGAAAACGTTATATTCTGTTAAAGATTATTTTTAAGGTAATATAATCACATATATATTTTGATTTTGTTTTTCTGATAAACAAGGAGTTTTTTGCTAGAATTTGTGTTAAATATTGTGTTTTTTCAATATCACTTAGGACTTTAAGTACTATATAGACTTACCACATAATTTTTCCTTTATACCACAGAGCCTGGAATAGATGATTCTCAGCACTCTAAATATGACGCAGATAAATCTATGCAACCAGAACCATTTTTTCATAAAATGGTTCGTTCTGAACACTTGAATGTAGTCTCTCAAATTCAATCAATTCTGTGTTCACCAGAAGAATCCTTTCCACTGCGATCTCGCTCTGATTCACCACCAAAAAATAAAAACAAGAATTCCTTGCTGATTGGACTTTCAACTGGTCTATTTGATGCAAACAACCCAAAGGCAAGTATGCTCCTCAAATGGAAAATGTTATCCATTTGATATTATTTCTTATTGATTGTTTTTCTTTAATAAACCATTATATTGAGTTTTAATCCCTTAAAAACATAAGCACATACACACAAACACACATAACATCAAAGCAAACAAAAACAAGAAACCTTCATCTTCAGAGATACTGCAAAGAAATTCCCATTGAGAGTACAACTAGGGCAAAGACTGTTTCATTGGCTTCCTGTTCAGAATTCTTTTTATAGGGTCTACATTTATTTGAGCAAAAGATCCCTCTTACACCCTCATGCTATCCCCCTTTCCCACTACCCGACGCAACTTCCATTTTTAGTATGAGACTAAGCTTAAACAAAATGTCTTGAATAGATAGAAGTGCGATATTGCCTAATTTGTACCTAGAAAGATTAATAGATGCACTTTCTGGTAGAAGTTTTTCAGACCTCTTATCTTTTCTCACTTGCTATTTTTAAAATATGCAAACAAGTTTTTCTTATTAAGAAATTAGAACATCATCTCTATAGAAAATTTAAAAATACAAAGTAAATCACATATCATTTTGTTATGTAGGTGCACCTTGGAGATAATTGCAGGTTCAGTTCCAGACCACTGCAATAAATTGAGTCACATATAGAAGTTTCCCAGTGCATATGAAAGTTCTGCTTACACTATAATGTAGTCGATTAAGTATGCAATAGCATTGTGTCTTAAAAAACAATGTATATACCTTAATTTAAAAATACTTGATTGCTAAAAAATGCTAACCATCATCTGAGCCTTCAGGAGTTGTAATCGTTTTGCTGGTAGAAGATAGTGTAAAAAACGCAGTATCTGCAAAGCACAATAAAGGGAAGTATGCCTGTATTCCTTTTCATATATATAACTTCTTACTAAAATAGGATATTATGCATACTTTTTGTAACCTGCTTTTCTAGTTAATATGTATTGTAAAATGATTACAAATATTATTACAAATAATGTTATTACAAAAATAGCATTTTGTCATATTATCAAATTTTCTCTTATATCATCTTTAATCATCACAAATTCCATTTGTGCTGCTATATCATAATTTTTTTAGGTAATTTATTTCTATTGTTGGGCTTTTAGGTTTCAGTTTTTGTTATTGTAACCACCTACATCTGTATCTTTGTACATATCCACAATTATTTCCATAAAATAATTTTTGTAAGTGGAATTCAAGAATTATATTGTGTATTGCCTGATTTCACTTCAAGAAACAGTTTATAGTGCCATCAATAGTGTATGAGAGTTTGTACCCTAAATAGCACCAGCTATTATCGTTTACTTAAAAATTGTGTATTTAATGAATGAGTAATGGTATTAATGTTTTAAAATTTGTGTTTCTGTGTTTACCAGTGAGGTTGAACATTTTTCATGTATTTAAGTCTGTGTATGATTGTATTGCCTGAATTCTTTTGTCCTTGATTGTTTTTTAAATATGTCATTTTGATTTTCAATTTAATTTTCCAATTGGATATGTTTTTAGTTTATGGAATATTTTCTTATGCTTACCTTAAATGCAGAGATTGCTAAATTCTCTCACTTATCTAATAGCAGTCAGCTTTTCAAAGATATGAAGTTGGTATATCCTTGATAGAACAGACAAGGATTATCATATAATTCATGTACTTTCTTTTGTAGTAAAGGTGTATAGGTTTCTTTAGCCCAGGGCTTTTTAATAACTTGCTGCTGTCTTTAAAGTTAATATTCCTTGCATAATACATTTCATTATTTTATTTTCTTTCATAACCTTAGTTCAGCCTTGGTTGTTCTATAGATGTACTTACCCTGGAAGTAAGCACAGCATAGCCAATGTAGAGGGAAGGGGCAAGGAAAAAACACTAGAAAATCAAAGCAATCTGTAGCCATTTAAGGCAAGGAAAGAAAGCCATACCTGTCTATCCCATAAATCTGTGAGATCATGAAAGTTCATCATTGGGCCAAAATAGTAAATAATCAATGTTCATATGGTGGCCTTGGATCGTGAAGAAAAGGTAAAAATTATTTATAAGCATTTATATAATCTGTTTACTAAAGTGGGATAATTTAACCTCTTCTTGATTTTTGTTACAAGTTCTTTTTAAAAAATGTTAAGTTATACTACTTGTGTCCTTTTTTCTACTAAAGGAAGTCTTTCTTATGCTTTGGATCCTACCTTCTTTCACCTTCTCAAGTCCTTTACTTGTCCTTCTCTAGCTACCACCCCATTTCTCTGATCCCTTTTACAACCAAACATCTTGAATATGTTGTATCTTTGCAGTCACCACCTCTATTCATTTCCCAATACATTGTAGTATGGTTTTCATTCCACTCCTCCACTAAAACTGCTCTTGTCAAAATCATCAGTTACCAGTATGTTACCAAATTCCCTATACCTTCTTCTCTCATCTTTCTTGACTTTTCTTTCACCAGAGTTGATATATACCTTTTTAAATCATTTTCTCTATTGGCTTCCTTTATATCATACTTTCCTGGTCTTCCTCTCCACCCATTAATCCCTCTTCAGTTTCCTTTGCTGGCAGCTACTACTACTAATAGATCTCCTTAAAAGAATGTGTATTCTTCTTTTGTTGGGCGAAGTGTTCTACAAATGTCATAATTAATTCAAATTGGTTGATAATGTTGTCAAATCTTTATCTTTACTGATTTTTTTGTCTACTTTAACTATCAGTTGCTGAGAAAAGAAGATTGAAATTTTTAACTATACTTGTATGATTATCTGTTTCTCATTTCAGTTGTGTCAATTTTTGTTCCGTATATTTTGAAGCTCTGTTATTGAGTGAAAAAAATTTAGTATTGTTATGTCTTCTGGATGAATTGGTACATTTATTGTTAGGAAGTGTCCCTCTTTGATAATGTTGTTCAAGTCTTCTATATCCTTACTAATTTTCTTTCTACTTGTTTATCAATCACTGAGACAGGAGTGTGGACATTTCCAGTCAATTGAATGTAAATTAATAATCTTTATGTCTTCTGGAATTGACCCCTTTAACATTATGAAATGACTTGCTTTATCCCTGGTTATATCACGTTGTTCTGAAATCTGCTTTGTCTGGTTTTAATATAGCCTTTCCAGCTTTCTTTTGCTTAGTGTTTACATGGTATATATTTTTTACATCCTTTACTTTTTTTTACTTTTTTTTTTTCATATTTTATTTATTTATTTTTTCCCCCCAAAGCCCCAGTAGATAGTTGTATGTCATAGCTGCACATCCTTCTAGTTGCTGTATGTGGGACGCAGCCTCAGCATGGCCGGAGAAGCGGTGCATCGGTGCGCGCCCGGGATCCAAACCCGGGCCACCAGTAGCGGAGCGCGCGCACTTAACCGCTACGCCACAGGGCCGGCCCTACATCCTTTACTTTTAATCAAACTTATTTTGTATTTAAAGTAGATTTCTTTTAGTTATCATATAGTTGAGTCTTGCTTTTTAACCAGACTAACAATCCTTTCAGTAAAGTGATTAGACCATTTATATCTAATGTAGTTTTCAATATATTATCAATATGATTGAGTTTAAACTTATTTTGCTTTTTTTTCATCTGTTTCATCGCTTCTTTTGTTCCTTTTTACTTTATTTACTTAATTTTCTTACTTAAATACTTTATTTACTTTTTATTCTCCCTTTTTTGGATTAAATATTTTATCTCTACTATTTGCTTATCAGTTAGACTTTTAAAAAAATATTTAGTGGTCATTGTCAGTTTTCAAGATATGTCTTTAGCTTATCACAGTCTCCCTTCACATAATACCACTTCACATGTAATGTAAGAACCTTACAACAGTATACTTCCATTTTTACTCTCTTACCTGTTCTTTGTGGAATTGTCATATATGTTACTTCTGCATATGTTATAAACTCCACGGTATATTTTTATTATTTTTGCTTTAAACATTCAATTGTCTTTTACGGAAAGTAAAAATTGAGAAAGAAAATCTATTTACATATTTACCGTTTCTGACATTCTTCATTCCTTTGTGTAGAATTCAAGTTTCTATCTGGTATTATTTTTCTTCCACTTTAAGAACTTCCTTTAACATTTCTTATGCAGCCCTGTTGATGATGAATTTTCTTCAGCTTTTGTTTAGAAATTTTTTATTTCACTTTCAGTTTGAAAGGGTATTTCCACTAGATCTAGAATTGTATTGTCTTCTAGGTTGCATTGTTTCTGACAAGAAACACTGTAAATAGAGTAGCAGCTTTCATAAGGTAGTTGTAATTGTGACTTGATAAAATTGAGAGTGTAACACTTAAATGAAGATCACTAAAGGTAAATTTTTAATAAGTCAAAATAAAGTAGTCTAAAGATGTGATCTTCTCATGATCTGACTTACATAAGAACAGAGTCTTGGTTGCCAAATGAAAAAGCTGCCTGTCCTTCCCTTTAGACCTTCCTCACTTCAGGGGATAGTGAATAAGGGGTGGAGAGAGAGACCAGATGTGTTCCACTGATAGTTTTCTCGTCTGGGGAGTGGAGTGGAAAACTGATCTCTATGAAAACTTGAGAATCTCTTTTCCTGTTATAGCAAATGCAGAGTGGGGGAAAAATATTAATGTGCAATTCACAAATAGCAAAGTACCTTAAATGCCTTCTTTTGATTTGCTAAAATATCAATTCTTAGATAATATTCCTAATTTTTGCCTTTGGTAAGTGTTTACAGTTTTTCGATGTTTTAAATCCATTTTTATCCCAGTTTATGGCCTGAAGTAAGCACGTATTTGTAGAAGCTATTTTGAGGGCACAATATTATCGTTTAATTGCAGTAAGCACAGGCTAAATAAACGTACTCATCATAAACCATTTTGTAGTGTAACCAGAATATTACTAATTCATAATTTTATATGGAAAATACTACAGGTGAAGAAAAGAGTTGACAGAATTCTTTGAAGTAGAATTTCATATGAAGTTCTGTTAGTGCAACTAGTACTTAATTCATTCACTATCTTACATGGTCCTCTCCGTTTTTGAGAAAAAATAGAACTTAACCAACAACCAAAAATCTAAAGGAAGTGAATATTTTAAAAAAACATTTTCAGTTTTCCTAACACATGGCTCTCCTATTTGATTTATAATGGTACCAAATGCTAGCTGTGTAAAGTCATGCTACAAAGAATTAGAAAAAAGTTAGTCTGACTATAAATGAAGTAAGATCTCAGGCAACATGTTATAGATGAACAGCTATTTTCAGAAAGATTTCTTTCTATGAATGTTAAAACTATAGAATATTATTTAAATGACATGAAAAAAATTTAGTAGAATCAGAATTATAGAACTGAAAGGGGTCTTATATAAAATTTTTATGACTGAAGATGAATATCCTATTTAAAACTTTACAGTCTATCAAAGACCATGAACAAAAAGAGTTTTTAATATAGGAGAGATAGCTGTTGGATTGATGAATGTGTAAACCCGTTCCAAGAGGAAGGTTGTCAGATTACATACCTCTTGAAATTTCTTTCTAACTGTGTTATTTTATGTTAGATTGTGAAAGTTATTTTAATTAGTGAAAGGAATAAACTAGAATTGAGATTATTTTACCAGGGGTAAAATTTATCTCAGCCTAAAAAATATTGCACCCTTTTGTGTAGTCCCCTTGTATTTAGGTATATAATGCATGTATGTTATTTATTTTTTTTGATTAGCATGTATCTGGAGAAACTGTTACTGGGTGCATATTTTGCATACTGCTCATTTGTAATATACATGATTCAAACCATTAAAATAATAAACAAGCATAAATTCTGCTGACAGTGGGAGAGTCAGCAAAAGAAATACTTTCAGTACCATTACTAAGTGCTTCAAGAAGCAGTGTATCTTCACCATATTGTAGTTCATAACCATTTTTTCCCTCTTGAGTGCTATAATATGTAAATGATGTTCAAATAATGGAAATCTATCCTTTTTTGTTCTCGAAAACAGCTTGTACCAATAAAATTGGCCAAGTATATAAATTTTCATTAATATGCTAAACGTTGTGTTTTCTTCAGTCTTCCATCTGGTGTAGGGTTCTTATCAGGGCCTTAGGAGTCATGTTTCAAATCTCAGAGTCCTTTAGGGCTAACCAACCCCGAGTCTTACGAATATAGATATTTGTTTCATAGCCCTGTCTGTCCATCACATTCTAATTGTTGAAGGGTTCGAGCACAGATGCTATTCCTATTATCTCTGGTCTTATCCAACACAAATTTAGATTTTAAACACCTCAACTGTGCATTGTTTTTTCTCAACTCAGTTTGCTGAATTCCTTCTCACTCTGCTACTATAAATAATTCTCAGTATTAACATCAAAGTGCCTGTCTTTCCAGCCTTCCGTGCAAATGGAAAGGCTTCATTCACAGTCCATTGCTCACAAAAGTGATGTTAGGCTTTTCTTTGCACTAATTTGAGGACCCTGATTTAAGCAGTGTTGGCTAGCCAGCAACTCCTAGGACCAAGTGATACAAAGGGCCACCAATTATGTGTGCTGGTGCTTAGCCAAGCTTCAGACTAACTCACTTCAGGTCAAAAATATGTGGGGAGGTTTGGCCATAGGAAAATGAGAGGAAGACTTAGCAGAGATACCATTGAAAGAGGGACAATATGGGCCATGAGTGAGAAGGAAAGAATTGGCAGTTTCTAGCACCGCCTGATTCCTGACAGATTTCCAATTCCATTCCATGTGCATACCCCAAATAAACACCTCTCCCTACCTTTTAAAGGTGACTTTATGTTGAAACCCAAGCATAACTCGCAAGTTTAGTTTCTTCGCTGACAAAATACTGAGCTGAAATTCAAGAGAATTAGGTTCTCACCTTGGACAGGTCACCTCCGAAGCTTCTAGCTCTAAATATATGAGAGAGAGAGATATATATATATAAAATAACAAAATGATAGGGGGCCAGCCCGGTGGCTTAATGGTTAAGTTCACACATTCTTCTTCAGCGTCCCAGGGTTCACAGGTTCGGATCCCAGGCGCAGACCTGTGCACCGCTGATCAAGCCGTGCTGTGGCAGGCGTCCCATATAAAGTAAAAGAAGATGGGCGTGAGTGTTAGCCCAGGGCCAATCTTCCTCAGCAAAAAGAGGAGGATTGGCAACAGATGTTAGCTCAGGACTAATCTTCCTCACCAAAATAACAAAATGATAAAATAACAAAATTATTATCGGCACTAATTTTTTCTCTCATTTTTATTTTCTAATTATCTTACTCCTAATAAGAAATCTGTTGACTTTTTTTAGATGTTGAGGACATGTTCACTTCCCGATCTCTCCAAGCTGTTCAGAACACTGATGGATGTTCCTACTGTAGGAGATGTACGTCAAGACAATCTTGAAATAGATGAAATTGAAGATGAGCACATTAAAGAAGGACCTTCTGATTCTGAAGACATGTGAGCGTGATGTCATTAATAGATACTAACACTAACAGAACTTCTGAATTTATATATGTTCTAGAGATGGTGACTTACCTAGACAGTTTTTAAAAATGATCTGTAGCTGACTTTTCACTACTCCTTTAACTTTTTACAACATATTTAAAGTACCATCATGCACATTTTGATATGTGTATCTGCCTCTAAATAATGGAACTTAATCTCACTTGAGGAGTATAAGGAAATGGTTTCTATTTGGATTTTCTTTCTTATTCACCATTGAGCATCCAGCACAGTGACTTGCACATGGTAGGTGCTTAATATTGGTTAAATGAATGAATGTTAGCAGGATAATAACCATTTAACGTGTAATGCCACATGATAGAAAGATTGCAATGACGAATTATGAAGTACTTACTACTCTACAGGGTTCCCCAGGAAGATAACCAGGAAGCTCCATCCACATCTGTCTCCTGCCATGTATGATTTCAAAATCATGGCAGTGGGGAGTTAGCAGGTGGAATACATAGTTGTTTGGGTTTTGTGTGTATGTGCATGTGCTCACATGTGAGTTCTGCATGTAACTTAATTGCTTTCACAGAATCCCTTTCTTCATGATTCATGGAGAATCTAGAATCCAGGAAGGAAATTTAACCAACACTTCTGAGAGTGGTGGGAAGTGATGGCCCCATAGACAGTAATCCTCCTTCACCTCCTTCAGTAATCCTTCTTCACCACCAACAGTCTCTGAGCCCCTCAGACAAATGTTACAAACTCTTTGGGGAAATAAAACCAGGGTACCCTGGAATACCACTAGCCAGCCCTAGTGGTCTAGGTTAAGATTGGGCATTCTCACCGCCCTGGCCCAGGCCCAGTCAGGTAACCACACCACCCATCTGTTGTTTGTCCTACTGTGGTGGCTGCATATTGCTGTGATACTGAAAGCTATGCCACCAGTATTTCAAACACCAACAGGGTCACCATGGTGGACAGGTTTCAGTGGAGCTTCCAGACAAAGACAGACTAGGAAGAAGGACCTGGCCACTCACTTCCGAAAAAATTGGGCATGAAAACGCTATGAAGCATTGTCTGATACAGCACTGGAAGGTGAGATGATGGCGCAAAAAGACCGGGCAGCGTTCACTTCTGCTGTACCCAGGGTCACTAGGAGTCGGAATCGACTCAACTGGCACTAACAACAACAAACCCTAGAATAAAGTGTTTGAGAAAGTGCAGTGTTCAAGTCACCAGGAAAATATGTTACAATATATTAGAATTTGTATGATTTAATTTCTTTTCTTTTTTTTTTTTTTTGTCTGTGTGAGGAAGATCAGCCCTGAGCTAACATCCGTGCTAATCCTCCTCATTTTTGCTGAGGAAGACCAGCTCTGAGCTAACATCTATTGCCAATCCTCCTCTTTTTTTTTCCCCCAAAGCCCCAGTAGATAGTTGTCTGTCATAGCTGCACATCCTTCTAGTTGCTGTATGTGGGACGCGGCCTCAGCATGGCCGGAGAAGCGGTGCGTTGGTGCGCGCCCAGGATCCAAACCTGGGCCGCCAGTAGTGGAGCGTGCGCACTTAACCACCAAGCCACCGGGCCGGCCCTGATTTAATTTCTAATTTGAACTTAAGTTTCTGCTTTTTACCTCTCTGCCTTTCAATAGAAAGAACTTGTGTTTTGATCTGATTGAAAGTGTTATATTAGTCTCATTAATTTCCCCCCTATAATACTTGAGCCAGGGCTACTGCATCTGGTACATTTTATTTTCTGTTTTTGTTTTCCTTAAGGCTTGCCTCTTGATTCTTAAATTTCTAACCAAACTTTTTTTTTTTTTTTTTTTAATTTTTTTAAATTTATTTAATTTTCCCCCAAAGCCCCAGTAGATAGTTGTATGTCATAGCTGCACATCCTTCTAGTTGCTGTATGTGGGACGCAGCCTCAGCATGGCCGGAGAAGCGGTGCGTTGGTGCGCGCCCGGGATCCGAACCCGGGCCGCCAGTAGCGGAGCGCCTGCACTTAACCGCTAAGCCACGGGGCTGGCCCATCTAACCAAACTTTATCTTTTAAAGGTTGCCTTTTTTTTTTTCATGTTTCGTAGAGTTCTGTAGATTTTTGTGGGTGCCCTCAAAATTTGAAGGAAAAGTTACCTTTTTATCCTTGTTTTCTTCGGCTTGGCTGGGGTTATTAAGCACTTTAACTCTGTTTTTATTAAGCCTATTGGAGAACACAACAACATTTCAGCACCTTTATGGTTGACAAAGTGCTAGGTAACAGTTTTTTCTTCAAAGTTTTTATAAAGTCATCAGTTTTTTTCTGAGTGAACTATAGCTTATTTGTGGCTTGTATTCTTTTAATTACTAGTTGACGACAGAATTTTATTTTAAAATTTGAGTTAAAAGCTGTAAATATTATTTTAAAAATTTGAAAACTAAGTTGTTTTTTAAAGTAAGTTATTCCATATCCGTAAAGGGAAATTTCACTTGACGTTTCTGTGGAAATTTTTTTTTATTGGTCCAAACTTTACTTAAGGTCTTATAATAAGAAAGCCTACTAAAAAGCAAATTTAGGACCAGGTTTTAAGGTACCTGAGACGATTTTTTGAGTGCTCATTTCATAAAAGATCTTACTCTTCTCATACTTTTCTTACAGTGGCAGACTTAGCAGCCCCCTCTTACTTTAATACCATCTGTGGGGGGCGCTAATTTCCAAAGGCTGACAACTACAGGATTTTATCAACAGGTTGATGTTTAGTCGCTGTAGTAATGGTACATGGCAGATGTGCATGGTGTGTTACTCTTGTAATTAAATATTCAGTTAAAAACTACTAGTGAGATGATCCAGAAGGTTAGACAGTCTCTCTCTCTCATGCTAATTAGCTGCTTTGCTTTTCTGTAGCTGCTACAAAGTCAAAGTGTAGGAGTTTTTACACATACATACAAAATAAAGATATTTCTACATTAAAAGATGTTTTTTCCATTAATGGAAATTTTATTGAAGTTGTCGAATAATACTGTTTATATTTTAGTTCTTCAGTAAATATTTGTTTATTTGATTAGAGTCTAAGCTTTAAGAAAGACCTTAATCAGCCGTTGTGTTCTATTTAGCATTGCTTTTCTGGTGGCTAAAATGTGTGTTGTGTGCTTTATTTATCAGTTGTATTAATCCTCATTTCCTTTGTTAAAAACTGTAGGTTTTTTCAGATTTCTTTTTATCCACTATTAGTACTTTTAAGCAGAAAGAGTGCATGCATATTGAGTTGTAAAATTTCAGAATAAGGTTAAGTTTGGTAATGTTTAGTTTAATTTTTTAAATTTCAGTGTGTTTGAAGAAACTGACACAGACTTACAAGAGCTTCAGGCCTCTATGGAGCAGTTACTTAGGGAACAACCTGGGGAAGAATACAGTGAGGAGGAGGAATCAGTCTTAAAGAACAGTGACATAGAGCAGACTGCAAATGGGACAGATCTGGCAGATGAGGATGACAATCCCAGCAGTGAAAGTGCCCTAAATGAAGAATGGCACTCAGGTGTGTGGTCACGATTCTAGGCCTTTTCCTTTTTCAGTGTGTACAAATATTTCAAGTAGAGTTTTATTTTTTTTGATATCTGATATGAACCATTTCCACCTTTAAATAAAACTGAAGCGTACTTGTGTTCTGTGACTTTTATTCATTTTTTTTCTTTCACACAAATGTGCATATACAGTTGTTCCATTTCTTTCCCATTAAATTATGGAAATGCTTTTTTGAAGCATTTTTATTCTGTTAGCCTCCATTTTTTGACTTACTTTTCTAGTAGTAAAGGTAATAACTTAGTTTCTTTAGCATTTTGTATTTTACAAAGAGCTTCCACATACAGTGGTTAACCATCAGGGTTAATACTAAAAGCAGTTTTTAAAACCTGGACAGTCTTTTTTTTTTTTTGGTTTTGAAACATTTTTTGTTCATAGCATAACCCCTAAGAGGCATTGAAAATTTTTATATTTCAATAACTGTATTTATTTGGGACGAAGAGCTAGTGATTCTTCAGTAATTTTGTCTTTTACTAGAATTTTTCAAAGTGTCTTGGGTATGTACATGACATAAAACACATAGAGCATTTATAATACTTTTTAGGTGCTTTCCTAAAGTTTTATGATATGTGTCTTACGTCCTCTGCCTTCTGCATGCTTTTTCATGTTTTGGCCAATGTTTAATACCAGCTTTTTAAAAATAATAGTTAAGGTTGGTTGCCTTGATGCAGAACATATGAGTATGCTTTTTCCATTTTTTACTAAATTAGAAGACATCTCTAAGAATGTTTTTATTCTAGATTGATTTACTATTTAGCTCTAAAAAGAAATTTCCAAAGTTAGCATTCTTGTTAAGACAGATTTATATATACATTGATTACTTATGTAAATGACAAATATTATAATGTCAAAAACTTTATATAAGTACAAATAGTCTATTTCAGTGACATTATTCACTTGCCATAGAATTTTAGTCTATTAGGGTAAGAATTATTCAGTCTTTTTCATCATAAAATATTTTCTTTTATGTTTTTTAGATAACAGTGATGGTGAGATAACTAGTGAATGTGAATACGATAGTGTCTTTAACCATTTAGAAGAACTGAGACTTCACCTGGAGCAGGAAATAGGCTTTGAAAAATTCTTTGAGGTTTATGAGAAAATAAAAGTAAGTAAAATGTCAGTTAAAACATTTAATTTTGAAATATGCACTGTTTGAATTACAGTGCATATTCAATGTCAGTGATCTTTATTGGTCAATAGATTTATTATAAATAATAAATGAAGTCTCCAATTAAAGAAAGTTAATATTCAAATATTAATTTATATTTGGGGATTTGGTATAGGCTGTTCATGAGGATGAAGATGAAAATATTGAGATATGTTCAACAGTAGTTCAGAATATTTTGGGAAATGAACATCAGCATCTTTATGCCAAGATTCTTCATTTAGTCATGGCAGATGGAGCCTATCAAGAAGGTAAGATTTCCTCATGTCCTTATATTTTAAATAAATGTACAAAAAACAAATGACAAATGTAAATTCATGAGCTTATATCACTTGCATTTTGGTGATATAACATCTAGTGCCAATCTTCCTCTTTTTTCTTTTCTTTTCTCCCCAAAGCCCCAGTACATAGTTGTATATCATAGTTGTAGAGTTGTAGCTCTTCTATGTGGGATGCTGCCTCAGCTTGGCTTGATAAGGGGTAAGTAGGTCTGCACCCAGCATCTGAAACGGCGAACCCCAGGCCACCGCAGCGGAACGCGTGAACTTAACCACTACACCACCGGGCCAGCCCCTATCCTAATTTTTTAAATGAATTTGTAAACTGATTCTAAATATTTTGGTCAAGAATTGATTTCTAGAATATTTGTCACAAAATTACTCCTATGACTTTAAAGGTATGATTTGTAGACTAAAATTGAGATTTAAAATGTTGATGCTTAATTTTGACAAAATAAATTTTCAAAATATTTATTTATATTCCATCTTGTTCCAAAAAAGTTTAAGATTGCATTTAAAAATATATACAGTACAAGATAAAATTAAGTTGAAAACAAATGTTTGGGGGGGCTGGCCCGGCGGCATAGCGGTTAGGTTCACATGCTCAGGTTCAGCAACCCGGAGTTTGCAGGTTCCAATCCTGGGCATG